AAACTTATTTTCGAAGGATTTTCTTTTTTCATTATTATCAGGGTCATATCCCAAGGCAATTCAGCAAATAGAGTGCCAACCACATTCCATCCGGGACCGATGGGATTCTTGACTCTCCAGCCTATAACCTCAGGCAGAGCCCCCGCCTCTGCAGCCATGGACATTATTCACAAGAGAAAAGTTATTAACAAATAACACAGAAAACTTGCTCTATCCCAACACAACCTCCGTCTATTAAAAGTCAGCTCTCTCCCCCAAAACCCTGTGTAGTGTGTAACCTGTATGAGGAGGATTAAAAAAAAAAAAAAAAAAAAAAGCAAAAAAGGCAAACCCTGGCAAAAAAAGCGCTTTCACAGAGCCAGCATCTTTGACTAGCAAATTATTACTCCTCACAAGGGGCGACATAACTCGAGTAGCCACCTGAAAATCCTCATCACTTAAAAAAAAAAAAAAAAAAAAAAAAACTGAAAATCCTCTGCAAGGAAGATGAGCAATAGCGAATAAGAACACACCAAGAGTTCATAATTGACAATGCTGAAATAGTCCCATCATCATCATCAACGAAGAACCAGAGTTGATATCCTATCTGGCGCTCGGCGCCCAGACTACATGTGGCAGATCCTATCTAGCCTACACTACGATGACGGAAGATGACATCAACAGTTTTCCCGAAGTACGAGCATATGGCAACCAATGTCGCACGCTTCCAGCACCAGGTATGTCTCTCGCCACACTCACAMCCTCGTTCCCCAACGCACAGATGCCACTAGCACCCAAGGACCACCCTGCGCTTCACCCAGCTTACAGCAGCACAGCTCGGCTATGGCTGCGTGCTCCTTCCCTGCTCGCCCGTGAGAGCATAGGCGTCAGCCAGCAAATAGCGCAGCAGCCCTTGCGCAGCATGCCGCCAGCACCCGAATGCCGAATACGGAGGCAGGCCCTTTGCTATATCGAAGTGGCCTGCCTGCGTCCAGTCCCAGGAAGCTTCCAGTAGGCCCCGGTAGCCTGAAGCCCAGCACGACAAAAACAGGCCTTGGGCCTGAGGTGGTTGCATGTGCCCAACTGCCTTGGCCTGTGTTTGGCCCAGTACCCGTATCCAGCCCAGGGCCTGCTTCACATACATTCACACAGGCGGCCCAGGGCCTGGGTTCACTCAACCAACTGGCGCTGCGCAACTGCCTGAATTCCCCTGAGTTGCGTGGTGGCCAGAATAGGGCCCTGAGGGCCTCGTCGAGCCTGCCTTCACTTAGGGCGGCCGACGGGCTGCAAAATGGGGCCTTATGGGGCTCATAGAGGCAGTGGCCTTGCACCTCATTCAGTAAAAAAGAAAAGAAAAAAAAAAAGAAAAAAAAAAAAGGCTTCCATTATCCAGTAAGCAACAGTACAAAGGGCAAACAAGAAATACAAAGTAAAGAATTATGAGAATTGAAGAATTCGGAATTCAGACCAAAAGAAAAAAGGAAAAAAACTTCAAAAACAGCTTCCATAATTCGGGCCCTATTAAGTGCAAACCAACTATCCTCTGATGGCACCTTTTTTTAAGTTTTTGTTTTTTGTATACTTTTTTTTTTTTTTTTTTTGAAGCACATTCTACTTCGTCAACGAAGCAAAAGGAAAAGAAAGGGATAAAAAAAAAAGCACATTCTCTGTCGTCTCCACAGATGGCGATGTGGTGTGTTACAGAGGAGGGCTACCGTCTTCCGCCGAACATAGCGCACCCTGATTACGGCTGTAGTGGACTTGAAAGTTAGTGAAATATACTTATAAGGGTGAGGTATGTCCGCGGGCGCAGGAAGACGGGAAAGACGGGAGCCGTACACTTGGTGACGAGTTTACGGAAGAGTGTACTGGACTGGAAAGATAGTGTCTATACGTTCATTATAAGGGTGCGGTATGTCCGTGGGAGAAGGAAGACGGGACCCGTATGCTTGGTGATGAGCTTAGGAAAGAGTTAGGAGGTTCCCCCCTCCCTGCCCCCCCCCCGCGCCTCTTTCCCCCTCCGAAGATGACAGAGGCGGCGGCAGCCGTGGAAACCAGTCCGGAAACCAACTGGCCTGGCTCAGTTGGTAGTACTTGGTACACCCATGAACTGTTGAAATACAGACCTGAGTTCGAACCCCAGATGGAATTAGAATAACTCTCAATTTCCCTGGGACTGGTCAGTTACACACTTCAACGATCATATCTCGAGGCCATCGCCATTGTCCGAAGAAGAAAAAAAGAAAAAGAAAAAAAAACTATAAAAAAGAAAAGAAAAAAAAGGGGGAAAAAACGAAAAAGAGAAGAAAATTTTCAAAAAAAAGGGACAAGAAAAGGAAAACAATTTGGTCGAGGATTATGTGTGATGATAACGTTCACCCTCGAGATCATCGATAACAGATTGAACCAGAAGAAAACAACTTCTGATCCTCATCTTCATTCCGCCTCCTTCCCAAGAACCTCCAGAGTCCAAACACTCCCCTTCCCTCCTCCGCGGCCGGGGAGCCAAACCCTACACCGGATAGAAGTTGCCTGTTCATAACAATTGGACGACGCTTTTTTTTTTTTTACGTGCGTATCAGAGTTGTGCGATTCCACTCTACACGTGCGATTTCGCTTCTGTGATTCCACACTACGTGTGCGATTTCCCATCTTCACCTCTCAACTCCTCTATATATCCCCAGCGCTCTTCCGCCCAATGCAAAAAAATTGGAAATGTAGAAGCAGCAGCAACCTGTCCCTTGTCCTTCGGGACATCAGTTAAAATTGGAACGATACAGAGAAGATTGGCATGCCCCTGCACAAGGATGACACGCATTAAAAAAAAAAAAAAGAAGAAGAAGAAAAGCAACCTGTCCGTTCAGAGCACCAAATACCGACGACAAAGAAGATCAACCTCTTTTTTTTTTTTTTTTTTTTTCCCAACCTTTCTTCAAGCAAACAACAAAAACCAACACCGCCTGATCCGGAGCTAACCACCTCCAATTATCAATTCTCCCCCCCTTCCTCCCCCCCCCCTCCGCTTTCTCTTTTTTTTTCTAGTCTAAGCTTTAAATCACCACTACCTTTCAGGCTGGAGAGCTAAGTCATAAATATAACCTATATACCGCATTCTTTGGAGGCCGGCAGAGGACAGGCGGCACCGGGCCCAGAAAGGCTGGCAGGGCCTGAGCCGGCCTCGGAGGTGCGAGCCTCCAGCCAGCCAAAACAAAACGACAAAGGCTCCGTGCTGGCGCTTTGGCCAAAGCTTGGCACGCATATCTGTAGAGGATCGGTGAAAAGAGACTTAGCGGTGGTGGTTTATAAATTATAAGCAAAATTGGCAAAATGCGCAAAAGCTTGGTTCCGCCTGCAAATTGTTTTCGCCCTTTCCGATGAAGGGTCAGCCCCCCCTAACATTATCGTAATCCATCTTATTGCGCGACAATTCGATCTCGTGACCTACCTCTTAACTAACACCTACATGTGTGCTGGGAAAAAAAATACCCAAAAAGAACTTGTCACGTGTGCGTACTGCTGTGTACCATTCAGTCACATACACTTGGCGTATAACTGCACATACCTTTTTTTTTCTCGTAATTTTAATCCTTTATTTCTTTGCTTTTCAACCACCCGTGTGCCGCGACCACGGGATTTTCTCCGGAAGCAATTTCCCCAACAATTGCATACCAAACCCACTATAGGCAGGCCTGTTGAGATAACACCCCCCCTCTTCACCCAAATGGAACAACGCCCAGTCCTTACGTATAGTGCTGTTCTGTTTGCGACCAAAGTCACCAAATCGCTATAGAACTACAGCACCTAGACTTAAAAAGTTGTGCACCAAATACAGCTACAGTCTTCCCCCGAATACAACGCACAGTCATTATAGCCGAATTTGGTCCATCTTTCTGTCTAAATTCAGCTATAATGACCGTACTTTGTATTCGGGGGAAGAAGGTAGCTCTAATGATCAGGCGTTCTATTCGGGCGAGGAGGGTAGGCACAGAAGCCAACCACTTGCTTCGGTAATCGCGACGTCCCCCCGGCATCGATTACAATTTGATTTATGCCCCCTCGATCTACCTTTCAGGATGGGAGGCTAAAGCCATAAAAGTAAAAAAAAAGTAAAACCTATACCGCATTCTTCGGAGACCAGTCTCCGCCGACGGACCAAAATGCTGGCGGCACCAGCCGAAAGCGAACGACAAAGGTCGTGCTGGCGCTTCCGCAACAGCTTGGCGAGCAGCTGTACTTTGTCTCGGCAAAACGCGGGCCGGAGGAGGTAGGAGGGGTGTTTAACAAACTCACTGACACAACAAATCCGATGAGAACCAGCCTCACACCTCCCTTTTCATTCTCCACCTCAAGGAGATGGCGATGGCGAGAAGAAAACCCGACGATCCACCTTTGTCCATTTGCATTCTGAAATCTCAAGGACTCTGTATGAGGCTTCGTACCTCCTCCGCTACTGCATCGACACACAAGCACACCCCAATGAGACGGAATGGGAGAGAGGAGGTGGTTTAGGACGTTCGAGGCATCGGTTGGTTACCTTGGCCAGGCAAACTACAGAATCGAAATTGCGTCAATCCGGGTTCTTCGGACGAACACAGTGCTACCGGACCAAAATGCCTCACAGCCTGGGCAGTGACACCCGCAAAAAAAAAGAAAACGAATGCACCACTGGCGGTTTGTTTCCCTTTTTTTTTTTTTTTTTTTTTTTTTTTTTTTTTTTAGGAAGGGCACAGCCTTGAGATATCATCTTTGAAATGACTACAGTCTTCACCCAAATAGAACGCCCGGTCATTATAGCCGTATTTGGTGCACTTCTCAGTCCCGATACAGATACAAATAATCGGGCGTTCTATTCGGGTGAAGACAGTAGCCCCAGGTAATTCACAATTATTTTATTCTGTTCATCTCATCACATCTGTCATTATAGCCGTATTTGGTGCACTTTTCAGTTCCGATACAGATATAATAACCGGGCGTTCTATTCGGGTGAAGACGGTAACCCCAGGCAATTCACAATTATTTTTTTTCTGTTCATCTCATCGCGTCTGGATTCAAACCGATCACGGTTGTATACCAACCAGCGTTGTCACGGGGTATTTCCCCGGGGCCCAAGCCGGGGTAGGGGTTTCACCCCCCGACCCCCTCCGCGGGGCTACCCGATCCCCGACCCCGCCAAAACACCCGCGGCCCTGCCCCAACCCGGCCACCCCAGCTCCCAGCCCACACACCCGCCCCCACGCCCCCTACACCCGCAACATCTGCACTGGCTGCTGTAAATAAGCGTACTCTGAACCCTCTGCCCCAGTAATGAGGGGGGCAGTACAGGGGAAGCTTTAGGGTTTAGGGTTTATGAGAGTGTTTAGGGTTTAGGGTTTAGGGTCTAAGAGTATGTTCAGCAGAGTATATCTGGTTTAGGACAGGTGAACCATTCGAATCTTCTTTCGAACGGGGAAGAGCGCTCGTGGTTACCTTCACTTACAGCCGCAGCCAAGCAAAAGGCATGCAGCGCTGGTGTGGTTGTGTGTACACAGTCAGCCGACGGGATGAAGCCTAAAATTCCCTAAATCGACGGACGGACTGGGACGGTGTTCAAGAGAGGGCTTAGGCCAGAAAAAAGAAAAAAAGAAAGATAAAAAGAGAGGGCTTAGAAGTGTTTCGAGCGTGGTTTTCGAGAGGGCTTAGAAGTGTTTCGACGGATGAACCCTAACTGTTCACAGGTATACGAGAGCATCTAAGCCCTCTCGACGGATGAACACTAACTGTTCACAGGTATACGAGAGCATCTAAGCCCTCTCGANCTAACTGTTCACAGGTATACGAGAGCATCTAAGCCCTCTCGACGGATGAACACTAACTGTTCACAGGTATACGAGAGCATCTAAGCCCTCTCGATGGATGAACACTAAATGTTCACAGGTATACGAGAGCATCTAAGCCCTCTCGACGGATGAACCCTAAATGTTCACAGGTATACGAGAGCATCTAGGGTTTTCGAGCGTGTTTAGGGTTAGGAGTGTTTAGGCGAGCATTTAGTGTTCCGGGTTTAGGAGAGCATTTATGGTAGAGGAGAGTGGTTAGGGTTTTGGATAGATAGGCTGACAATACACATACAGTTAACACCAGTGACTTGGGCGTGGGGTGGGGTGAGGTTCAGATGGGGGTCGGTAACTAGGATTGGGTAGGGGTTTAACACCCACTCCAGGCTTGCCCGTGATCCGCCTAGCCCTGGGGAAGCTGGACCAGTCAGGGCTTGTCCGTTAAGTCTGTGTCGAAATCTGGTGGGTCGGTAGGAATCTGGGTAGTACTTGCGGGGCTGATAGGATACTGCTTGTGCCTCGCGGCCAAAGTTCCCGGGCGACAAGACTCACTCGTCTGAGCTTCAACTAGGGGTGGGGAGGGGTTAATACCCACTCCGGGCTTGTCCGTGATTCCTCTTAGCCTTGGGTGAGCTGGGCCAGTCCGGGCTTTTTGTCCCGTTGAGCCTGCCTAGCCCCGGTGCCTGCAACTGCTATGCGCTCCAAGTCATGCTCTGAGATAACGAGGTTATAGTCCAAGGTGATTATAGTAGGAATCGGGGGGTGGGTGCACCGGGAGAATGATGAGAGGATGCGTCCGGAGGCGGTCTCAAAAACTGAACAATTGTCAGGACGACCAATGGCAGGCTGCTGCAGCAACCGCCGTGTGTCTGGTACCTGGCTGGCCTCTACAACAACCTGGGCTTAAAAAAAAAAACTTGGATAGTGTTTAGGGATCCAGTGAGTGTTTAGGGTTCCGGAGAATGTTTAGCGTTTCGGAGAGTGTTTAGGATTAAGAGGGTTTAGGGTTAAGAGGGTTTAGAAGACGGTTTAGGGATTACGATTTAGGAGAGGCTTCAGTGTTTAGGGTTTAGGGGCTACCGTCTTCACCTGAAGAGAACGCCCGGTTATTATAGCTGTATCTGGACTGAAAAGTGCACCAAATACGGCTATAATGACCGGGCGTTCTATTCGGGTGAAGACGGTAGGAGACCAATTTATGGTATCCGGTTCAACAACAGTACGGATGTGTGCGAGCTGATGCGTGCTTCAGAGAGTGAGGAGAAATGATTTGTCTCCTGCTTCCGTGCCAGAAAGGCGGAGTCGTCAACATCCAGAACCTCTGTTGACTGCAGAAGCTGAAGATTTGACTTATTATTAGGTTATTACGCATGCAACCATCCGCCATCCGATCCGTGACGTATTCAAATATAGGGAGAGGAGGCACTGCAGCAGACAATTACAGTGGGATGCGTAACACGTCCACATACGGGGAGAGGATGCGCCGCATACAATAAGACTGGAATACACAACAAGAACGGGTCCAAATGCAGAGAAAAAGGAGGCGCCGCAGACAACGCCAGTAGAATTCCCTGTATTTGGAGTCCCACGAAATGCCAGCAATAAGTATTGAGAAAGCGTACAGACTGGCGGAGCAGAACTCCGTGCCAAAAATAAACAAACCACCAGCAACCAAGATGCCTAGCTCAGTCGGTACACACCATGGCCTGTTGAAATATGAATCAGACCCAAGTTCGAATCCAGATGCAACCATCCAGTCTCTACGCTTTCTCCTGTGCAAACCCTCTACGTCCGAGTTCGATGCCGATGACAAAATGCGGGAGAGGAGAAACAGGTCCTTAATAGAGAGGGAGAGGGGCCGCCGAGCCGCCGACAAACTTGCCTTTTTTTTTTTTTTTTTTTTTTTTTTTTTAAACCACTTGTACCTTTGGCGTCCCGTTTCGACAAGTCACTGGCCAGTACCAGAACTTTCAGGAGGCCGAGCCCGACGTTGATCAATCTGATCGGCGGCCGTCGTTTCGTTTCGGCCTCCTCCTGAAAGGTCGGAGGCCGAGTATTTTCGAACCAACAAAGGTACTGGTGGCTTAAGAGAGATTGATTACCACTTGCCCTTAAGTTCACCAAGAATGAGTTGACTCAATTCTCAAGGGTGTGAATGCATAACAGGTCCAACTACGGAAGGAGAGGAGGCGCCGCCGACAAGAATGAGTTTTTTTTTTTTTTTTTTCAGACAAACATATCTTGATAGGGGAGGGGTATAGGGTGTGAATGCTTACTAGTGTGATCAGCAAAACAGAAGAGAAGGCTTCACCAAGGGGAGATCAAGCAGTGTGTGACAGACAGAATCTGTCAACCAAACGCATAGTCCGTCTGCATAACAGCCAAGAAAAAACACACAATACTCAGTAGTCTGCATGACAGGAAAGAGGCCAAGAGAAAACACATAACAGTTACAAAAAGCCAACACAAAAAACAAGCAGGTGTTTTTTCTTGGCTGTTGAAAAACAGCAGCCAACAAAAAAAAACACCTAAAAGTTAACTCTGCAGAACCGCCAAGAAACGCACACAATACTACTTAGTCTGCATCTTTTCATAAAAGCCAAGAAAAGCATGCAATTAAAACAGAGGCATAAGACTCGGTCTGCATAACAGCCAAGAAAAGCACACAATTCAACCAGGCAAAAGACTTAGTCTGCATAACACCCAAGAAAGGGACTCGATTCAGCCAGAGGCATAAGCTTTTTATAAGCAAAGAAAACAACACCTCATAGTTAGTCTGCATAACCACCGAAAAAAACACGCAATACTTATGTCTGCATGACAGCCAAAGAAAGCACAAAATTCACCCAGGCAGGGGACTCAGTCTGCATAACAACACCCAATAGTTTTTTTTTTTCATCCTTAAAATTAAATCCAATAATTTTCGCCTCTGAAAATGGAATACGTATGCCCCCAACCGTCTCTATTAATCATTACTCCAATCCCGAAGACAATAACAGCCCAGAAAAAGAAAAAGGGGAAAAACACCAAATACTAAATAGGCTAATAGGCTGCACAACAGCCCAGAAAAGCACACAATTAAAACACCCAATACTTAAGTCTGCTGCATAACAGCCAAGAGAAAACGCCTAATTGTGTGCACAACAGCCAAGAAAAGCGCACACTTCACCATGTCATAGGCTTTGTCGTTCATCGAAAGCCAATAAAACACCCACTACTTAGTTTGCATAAAGAAAAAAACACCTAATAGTCTGCACAACAGCCACGAAAAGCACACAATTCACCCTGTCATAGGTGTTTTGTCATTCAGAAAGCCAATAGCACAAGCCTAAATGCTTGCCGAGTACCAACTCACATAGTCAATGGCTTTTTGAATGACAAATGCTTGCCAAGACGACATAGGTGACCGCAGCGCACACACACACACACACACACACACACACACACACACACACACACACACGCACACAAACACACAC